CTGCACCATTAAAGTCAATATGCTGTCGCTTATTTGCGGATTGATGTAAAAACAAAAACAGTTAACATATAGTTAGCAGTCATATCGTATGTTCCTCTTCACGTCATCCTAACTCATGACACGTGCCAAATAATAGACACTAGAGGGTGCAGCTGAAGCACGAGAAGTACAGGAAAATAAAACAGAACATTTTAAAGAATTGAATACTATGTTCGTGGGTTTTTCCTGCACTGTGACGTTAGAACCGCCCATACCTGTTCCATCTGCACACCTGGGGGCAGAACTAGGACACTGACTCACTTGTGATTGTTATCTCAGTGTTTGTAATGTGCAATTATGTCTCGAGACATTATTTTAAATTTTAAATGTATTGAGTGACATGTCAGGTCTGAGCCAAGTTAGCAAAGAGCATTAACGTGTCTCGTGTTTCAAATTAATAAAAGAGAAAAGTGATTTATTATTGTCTTCTCCGATCTGTTAATCTTTTTGCTTTAAGAATTTCTATTAAAAGAAAAAATAATAAATAAAGTTGTGATGCTGTAGATTAAATTAATAATAAATACAAATAAATCAAAAACTAGTAAGTAATAAGATCAAAACTCAGGTGTGGGTTTAAAATTGAATACCTTAACACGCACCTCTTTGTCCACGATCTTCAAAGACTCAATAGGGCGTTATGCGAGGCTGAATGATGATGATGACAGTTATTGATGTCAACTAATAAAACCGAGAAAACAAAACCCGCCAACATGTAATCTGGAGAAACTTGAATTAAGACTAAATCAAATGTATCTGTCAAAAATGGCACCTGACAAAATTATAGTTTTTTTTAACCTTTAAACCCCCGTAGCTGCAGATGTCTGGTTGTGTGCGTGTTTAATGAGTCCTATACTTCAACCCAGACCCTGCTCCTCCTCCTCCTCACCTCCTCCCTCCTCTCCCCCCTTTCAGGCTGTTTAAGTGTCATAGGGCAGCATTTCTGACAGACAAACCAGCAGATGGAAGTGACACTCGTGACATCCTGCAGATTTAGACAAACAGTGTTACACAAATCAATGCAGACAATGACAGCGAGGGAGGAAAATACGTAAGCCCAAAAACTGGGCCATAGTATATTTAAGAGGAAAACAGTGACAGAAAGAGACAGTGTCTCAGTACAGTAAGGCTTCAGTCTGAACAGCAGAGATGTCGCCTCCAGATAAGATAAATGACTTATTAGAGAGCAGAGTCAAAGGCCGGGCTCTGCGTGTCATTCTGGTTCAATGGCCTGAAATGTTGATTTTTGGTTTAATCTTTGCTTTGTCTTTTTCATCAACTAGTTTTGTGCTTTTCTACACGTTGTTGACTGTAACAATGGTTACACCAAAATGTGAAATTCACTTGTCTCCCCAACTTCAGAGGTCGTGTGAGATGAATTCTGACCCCTTGTGTGCCTTGATGTTGTGTTCTGCCCTGCTCTGCTCCTGTCTGCTGTCTGCTGTCTGCTGTCTGCCAGTCATATGTACCACCATCTGTTCTTCAGACCAGCTCATAATGTAGCTGGCATTCTCTCACAGTGGGCCCAGTTCAAACACTCACACTAACCAAAGTTTGATCGTTACACCACTTTGTGTTTACAGTGCATTTGTAGCCTCTGTGTATGTGTTCGTCATTTTGTGTTTCTTGCTGCCAACTCTTATAACTGAATTATGTCCCTCATGTTGTGATGGAGATGGGAACAAGAGCTGGTTGGTAAGTGTTGGAGGAGAGCAAACTGACGCCGGCTGAGTTGAATCATAACTATTCTTTATCAGTACTGATCACTCACAGACTATATTGGTGTAGTTTTATACCTTTGATAGCTCAGTTGGTAGAGAGGAGGACTGTAGAGGCCACCAGCCAGGTCGCCAGCTTGAAGGAGACTGTTTTAGTGGTTCCACAGTGTAGCAGTTAGCTAAGCAAAGAGTCCTGGGTTCGATTTCTGGAGGAACCACATACTTGGCACCTCCAAGGGGATCTCCAAGCAAATCTGCTCTTAACACTTAACACAATTTCCCCAGTGTGGAATCAATAAAGTTCAAATTATTATTGAATATTAGTTTTTCTCAACATCAACCCATTTTTTTACTATTTTGCCAGGACCAATTGCATACAAAGTTGCTGTCTGACAACTATTCCGAGCTTTGTTTAAACTGACGGATCGGAAAAGACAGCAGTCCAGTGAAATGTCTTCAGAGTTGTGTCAGAGGTGCTGTGGTTCCTAAATGATTTTGAGCAGCTCCCTTACCTGTTCAGGGTTTACTCTACCGAGAAGTTAAAAACAAAGGTAGAAAAATGGAAGAATGAAAACAATGTGAATGGTACAGTGCTGCCCCGGAGCAGCACCTCCTATGTGCCGTGTTCATTCATTCCTGAAGGATCTGCGTTCCTCCGCTAACTCTGTCATTACAACCAGTCAGCCAGTGTAATTACCAGCCTCCATGTGTTTGCGGTGTGTGATCCAAGGCTGCGTCACGCACCCGAAGTTTGTGTGGGTGTCGAGGGGAGCGGAAAAAAAGAGCACAAATGGATACATCTCGCAGCTAACTAATTAAATTAAAAGGCATTTAATGTCAGTCTGTACTCCACCTGGAGCTGTCTGTTCAGGCTGTGCACGGACAATAAAGCGCTGAGAAAAGTTGCAGTTAAATATTTAATCAAAATGAGTGAAACAAGGTTCCATCCCTTAGCGATCTTAGTGTAAGATTGTATCTCAGATGGCTTCGATATGCTCACTGAAACTGGACCTAGCATATGCTATGCTAATTGTACGTTTTTAATCATCTATTGATTTTAACTTAAATGTGAACGTGTTCACATGACAGGATAATATTAAGCTCAAAGTGACGTTGTAGAATAGTTTCACCCAGTGCCTCCAGCCTTTTTCTGTTGTTCTTGTCACATCGATGTTGTCAGAAAGGTCAGGTCAGTCGGCTCAGATCTGCTTCCTGAGTCCCCCTCGCTCTCTCTCTCTGTCTGTCTCTAGCTACGTAGCTGATGTTTCACTCCGATGGGTTGTGTTCTGACAGAAGTCTGATGAAGACCAAACCACACTCACACCATGGCCTCTCTCATCAGGCTCCTCACAAACATAATGAAGCCATTCTGCCGGCGGCTCCTGCAGCTGGGGCTGGGAGCTAAATGATGTAGGCTCGGTCCTGTTGGTGAATCACAGGACGGCTCTGTAGATGAGGAAAGACTCTGTCAGAAGGCTGAAGATCACAGCAGGCAGCCTTCGGACAGGAAGTGCCTGTGGTTCTCCGTAAACAAAGACACGATACATTTGTGCAGCCATATGACAATGAAGGAGCTTTTTTATTTAAGACGTGAATACATTTTCATCAGAGTTCCTGTTTGGGTATATGAGTAACTGGACAATACAGTCTGAGGGCAAATGGAAATGGACTTAAACTCAAAGACCCTTGGATATAGGAGGAGTCTGTAGATACCCTGTTTCTACAGCCACGTGTTTTTTTTTCTTATATGCAAAACACAGGCAACAGCCTACGAACAACAATTATAAACTAACATGAATCAGTGTGTAGAAGTGCCAGTACCATTTCTTACAATCAGATAGCAGATTTTGTCTTACTTCTTTTGTCTGGATTTCAGTAGGTATGTTATGTTGGTGTTATGTCACTTCCAAACTGCTGACATTGTTGACATACTTAGATAAACTACGCAGGAGGACAATTAGACACTGAACTGCAGTAGGAAAACACACGAAACCGGCTGGCTGTGCTGAAAAGCCATTACGGAGTATCGGGTGCTTGGGCCTTGATATCGGTGCATCCCTTTGTTTTATATGCATCAGATTTTTTTTTAATTTTAAATATAAATAACAATTGCAAATTTGCTGTAAAAATGTTCTGTCACACACCGATAAAAAGCTGACCTTGTTTCCACATAGTGAAATGTTGGCTGGGGAAAGCAAAGAAAGGGTTAAAAATAAGCTGAGATAAGCTGACATAAAAGAGAGGAAGGTTTAGTTACTTTTCTTCATGTGAGTGTGACTTCCCTCACTTGCTAAACCCCAGGCTTTGACAGCAGTATCAACGAAAGTGCTCACATTTAAATGTGGCTAGAGCTCAGTCCAAGTGATTATACAGTTAAAGTATTATATGCATGTGCACATGTGCATGCATGAGGATCATGTGGTGTGTGTGTATGTGTGTGTGTGTGTACCCCCATTCCTTTGGTGGTGGTCGGGGGCTGTACCATAATCCGCCTCTCTCTGATTCATCATGGAAAAGAGTTTACTGGTCTGAAATTTTAGAAGTTCAACGTCCAACTGAATCAGAGCTGATGAGGAGACTGCCTCGGTGGTGAATCCTTATTGAAAAGTTCAGGTTGAATTGGTCAATGCATAATTCATGAATTGAGGAACGACTGGAATTTTTTCAAAGATAATGTGTCAGAATGAAATAAGAGGCTTATGGGAAAATATGTGTGAGTGAGTTGTAAAAACGACTGTTCAGGTAAACCCAAAGATGAAGGCCTCATTTTATCAGTATAAGGTGACCCTTAATGGAGAATAGAATTTCATAGCAAAGGTATTGTTAGTACACTCGGAGGCGAGTGGATTTTGATTTGCCATTTTTGTCTTCTCTAAGGTCTTTGCCTGAGGAACAGAACATATTAACATCGCAGAATATAAAGGTGCGATGATTTACACAACCATATAAAAGTTTCCTCTCTAATTTGAGTTGTAAGAACTTTGCTTTCCTGACGTCAAAGTCGGCCACACCCTAAACTTTAAGCACCACCTTCACGTCCTGTGTGTGTTCTTCAGAGTGTCATTAAAAAATTCCCTGTTAGTCCCTTTAAGATTTATCCCACAGGGACTCTACATCTCTTTTCTTTTCTCTCTCTCTCTGCTCTTTTTATTATGCAGTTCTAAAATTGACTTCTAGTGAGTTCAAATGTTTTGTTGAAGCCTGTGCAGGGAATACGTTGATAACAGTTTCTTCTTTTCCCTTTAGACTGAAAGAAAGCTCAGAAGAAGAAGAAGAGACCGAGGCCTGTCTCCCTCTCCTCCATTATGGACCAATGATGTCTCTTTCTGGTGCTGCCAGTAAAAAGCGATGTGTTTCAGACCCAACGGCCGCAGCACTGTCAGCAAAGTGTGTGTGAGGCCTCTCCTGTCCCTCTTCCCTTCTACCCTACCTGTGATGGGATGCCAGGCCTTTGTCCTCAGGACCTAAAGTCGCCTGGGTGAGTCATGAACAGCTACAGAGACAGAGGGGTCACCTGCACCTCCTCAGACCTCCTGGATGGAGGAGGAGGTGATGGTGGAGGAGGAGGTTTCCCTCTCCACGCTCCTTTTCATCACACCCCAAATGGCCACACGGCTCCTGCCCCCGCTGACCCAGCTCTGCAGCCCCGTATGTCTGTGCCTAAGATGGGCGTTCGAGCACGGATCGCAGAGTGGCCTCCACGTCGGGCGCAGTCCCGAGAATCCCTGCTGGAAAATGGGCAATCTGGCACCAATCACTATGGAGACGACGGCTCTGCTTCGGTTTTGTCACCAGACGTCGGTTTGGTGAGGGGTGGGCTTGCAAGGTTGCCGCGACGACGATCGAGGGAGGTCGAGTTCAGAGTGGCAGGGTTTGGGGGGGGGAGAGGGTCACCCCCGAGCCTCAGAGTATTCCCGCCGCTG